AAAAAAAAAAAAAAAAGTCAGATGGCCAGCTAAACATGTACCATAATGTGCCCGCCTACGGTTAACATGTGCAGAAAAAAATAAAAATTTTCGATGCGTTAAACACACAACAAAAAAATACATGGAACTCGGCAGTGACGAAAAAAAAGGCCATCGTTATAAATCAACATAAATGACAACAATGCTGATGCACCCTAACCGTAAGATGCCCAGAATTCGCCTAGGAAGATGAAAGTTTACCAGTGCATTAAAGCAGTTCTGATGTGCAATCAAACTACATGGGTTTCATTTGATGTTTCATCTGTGTGCCAATTATGAATTTTGTTGTATCAATGAACAAAGTTTGAGTTGAAAACAAATTTTGCGAACACCATAAATTCCATTGTCAGTTTGCCGTTCAATCGGCTATTACACTGAATATTATAACTGCCATCAACCGAATTGGATTAAATTAGTTCAATCAACAACACAGAATCCATATGACGACACTTGTGTTTGACTTTCTCCAGCCATTTAGAAAGAACCCTAATTAAACTTTACCAGTTTTCTGCGAACTCTCCAAAAATAAAAAGTTCGGTAATGTACAAAGAAATATGACCCATGAATAAGGTAGTTTAACTTAACGTTCGTTCATTATTCCAGCGACTATAAAGAATCATTGTGAAGCAGAAAAAAGTTGCTCAAAAATGCCACAATGGTCCTTAGAGGGAACTGCCTTTATAACAGCAGAAAACACTGATAATATAGTAAAAATTATGACCCTCTAACAGTGAGCGCTAGTAATCAGAGAACTACAAAGTATTTTTGAGGGCTTTAAATGCCTAACATTTCAGTTTCTGGTAACTCTTTGTTGTTCAAGTACTCAAGGATCATCAAAAGTTACTGCAATAGATCTGATCTAAATATAACTGTTAAAAAAAACTCACTTCTGTCTCGTCTTCTCGTTCCACCCAACTCAAAAAAACAAGGAAGCCCTGAATTATTGAAGAGTTCTAGACTGTTCATAGAAGTTGAATGATGCAGGTCAACAGCTTTTATTGATTCAAAATAAGTATTTCTGGAGTAGTTTTACTATACCACTTTTTTTATAGAAAAATTTGTCCTGTCTGTAAATATCCTTTTTCCTGAAACAAGGGGAATCTGTAAGAAAACATAAGATGACAACTATAGCGCAAAAGCTTTATCGCAATGTTAGTGGAAGAACTTTAGAAGGATTGAACTAGCATCAGATCTACAAACAACAGCGGCTTGTACAGACCCAGAAACTTTTCTAAATTTAAATAACTACCAACCAATACTGTCTACGCCAACTTCCACATCAAAACGTAAGGTAACTACTCAAGCAGTTATTTACCTGCTTCCTTTTTTCGGCACCAGTCCATTTACTTTTCTTAGTTTTCAAATCTTTCCACCCTTTTTTTGTTTTTCTTGTTATTGCACGAAAATTGAAGAGTATACTTTAAAAACGCTGTAGGAATCCAGATGGCGGGCCTTGAAAGAACTCTTCTGCTCATACTAACTTAATTTTCCAGACTAGCTACTTATCTGGTTCCACCTAATATAACATTCAGAATTTTCGATGCGCAATGAATGTCGCTCTGCCAACTATCTAGCAGCTTCCCAACTGCTCATCCAGCAGAACTGATTATTTTAAAGGTATTTCCACATCAATCAATTCATAGATCCTAACCAGACCCAGTAACAAGAAAACCTTTTCTTCTGCAGCTACTTAAGAGACAATCAAAACAAATTTGAAAAAAAAACTAAAGTTTTTTCCCACTAAATCGTACAAATACCGCCAATCCATCAAAACCCCCTCAATGTTTCTTGACTATAAAACACAGAACTAACGAAAAAAATTTGTCACTGTGAATAAGTCTGCTCTAAGTCTTAATAAAGATACCAAATGTAAAGCATTCTTGTCATAAATTTCACAAATTACATTGTATGACTGTTAGAAGACGTCGAAGAGGTTTAAAAACTCCTGATTCCGTCTCATTTTTAAAAAGTTTCCAATGTTCAACTGTCACTGTAGATCAGTGTAAAATTAACAATGCAAAAAATTTATACTTTACGCCAAACCCTTCATCTACAAAACTTTCTGATCCAATAAAGGATTGATTCCAATAGCCCAAATGGTGTAATTTGTCCA